GGGAAAAACATTCCTAATAACAGAAAAAGGCTTACAAATCGTACCACAAAGCAAAACCCAATATTATGCTGTATGTAATCATTAAAAATAAAATTATCAGTGAAAGTGTGTTAGGCAAATACAAATAAAAAGAAGAGTTTGTTACTTTACTATGACTTCATTGATTTCAAGGCAAAAGTACTAAGTGAGACAAAGAGCAAAGTGGGAGGAGTGGCACTACCCGACTTCAAGAATTCCTAGAAAGCTGCAGTAATCAAGGCAACGTGGTACTGGTGGAAGAAGAGATCGGTGGAATTATAGGCCAGAAATAGATCCACACAAATATAGTAACTGATCTTTGGCAAAGCAACAGATACAAGTCAATGGAGAAAGGATAGAGCTTAAAACAAACAGGGCTGGAAAAACTGAACATCCACGCACAAAAAAACAAATCTAGACAAACACCTTATAACTTTCACAAAAACTGACCCCAAAGGGATTATAGCCCTAAATGTAAAATGCAAAACTAAAATTCCTAGAAGATAACAGAGGAGGAAGTCTTGGTGTCCTTGGCTTGGTGGTGACTCTTTAGATACAGCACCGAAAGCACGATTCGAAAAGGACGTTCCATTAAGTGGAACGCAATTAAAATTACAAACTTCTTTTCTGAAACAGACACTCTTAAGAGAATAAGGAGACAAGCCACAGACTGGTAGGAAGTATTTGCAAAACACATATCTGATAAAGGACTGATAAGCACAATATCCAAAGTTTTCTTAAAACTCAGTAACAAGGCTGGGCGTGGCGGCTGATGCCTGTAATCCCAGCACTTTGGGAGACCGAGGCGGGCAGATCACTTGAGATCAGGAGTTCAAGAGCAGCCTGGCCAACAGGGTGAAACCCCGTCTCTACTAAAAACACAAAAAACAGCTGGGCGTGGTGACACGTGCCTGTAATTCTAGCTACTAGGGAGGCTGAGGCAGGAGAATCGCTTGAACCCGGGAGGCGGAGGTTGCAGTGAGCCAAGATTGTGCCACTGCACTCCAGCCTGGGCGACTGAGCAACACTCTGTCTCAAAAAATAAATAATAAATAAAACAAAAACTCAGTAATAAGAAGGAAAACAACCCAATTACAAAATGGACAAAAGATCTGAACAGACACTACACCAAAGTAGATACACAGACAGCAAACAAGCATGTGAAAAGATGTTCCACATCAGATGTCATTAGAGACTGCAAATTTCAACGACAATGAGACACACAACCACACACCTATTAGGATTCACACAATTAGAGTAGCAGTCCAGGGATTTCAGTCGTTTATCTGTAGAGTAAAAGTGGCTGTGAACTTTCATAAGCTGTTTCAAAAAAGCATGATTTTTCCAGACAGCCCGGGGGAGATCGCCTGTCTACTGAAAACAGTACAATCCACACTGAAGAGCAGACAAACCAAGCTGCTGGCAAGATGAGGAAAAAGCGATGAGAAGAAGACCCGCCTGAGGATCAACTAAAGGGAACAAAATACTTTGACATCCACGACTAATTTTAATTGTATTTTAATTGTCATTTGCCCTACTAAATATAATCAAAGCCCTATCTGTCAATCATCAGTATTACAATGAAAATATTCTACAAATAAAACTGTTACAAATTTCATATACATGTAGAAAATATATATATATTTGTAGAATATTTTTTATATATATAGTTGTTTTCTCTTTTGAAGGATGTGGCTCTTTATTCTTGACTGTGCCTTAGATCACCTGGGAGCTCTGAAATGTCCTGCCAGGCTGGGCTCGGTAGCTCAGCCTGTAATCCCAGCACTTTGGGAGGCCGAGGGCGGATCATGAGGTCAGGAGATCGAGACCATCCTGGCTAACACAGTGAAACCGCGTCTCTACTAAAAATATAAAAATTTAGCCAGGCGTGGTGGCGGGCACCTGTAGTCCCAGCTACTCGGGAGGCTGAGGCAGGAGAACGGGGTGAACCCGGGAGGCAGAGCTTGCAGTGAGCCGAGATCGCGCTACTGCACTCCAGCCTGGGCAACAGAGCGAGACTCCATCTCAAAATAAAGATAATAATAATAATGATGATGTCCTGCCAGTAAAATCAGAATCCTTGGAGGATTTTGAGTTTAGCTTACTTAAAAGGATAATTACCACTGGAAGATGCATTTCTCCTATTTCATTTTTTTTCTTTTTTTTTCTCCGAGACAGAGTCTTGCTCTGTCGTCCAGGCTGGAGTGCAGTGGCGCGATCTCGGCTCACTGCAACCTCCGTCTCCTGGATTCAAGCAATTCTCCTGCCTCAGCCTCCCAAGTAGCTGGGATTACAGGTACGAGCCACCATGCCCAGATATATATATATATATATATATATACATATTTGTATTTTTAGTAGAGATGAGGTTTCACCACGTTGGCCAGGCTGGTCTTGAACTCCTGGCCTTGTGGTCTGCCCGACCCAGCCTCCCAAAGTGCTGGGATTACAGGCGTGAGCCACCGCGCCTGACCCTACTTCATATTTTTGACGAGCTCGCCTTTCACAGAAAAATGCTGACAACACTAATAGTAGCTAATACTTGCACAGCGCCCGTCCTCTAATAGAAGACGTAAGAAAACGCCGTCTTCTTTACACATAATACTTGCACAGCGCCCGTCCTCTAATAGAAGACGTAAGAAAACGCCGTCTTCTTTGCACAGAGCCACATTCTTAGCTTCTTCATGTACAACTGATTCCTCTTGCCCTTTGAGAAGATAAAATCCATTCACTTGGTTGTGTTTAATTTGGGGAACAAAATGGAAGACATTGAACCTGTCCACATGCAAAAGCAGGATGAAGCAGGATGGAAAGCTATCTATTTTGTATGCTCCCAGTGGCATGAAACCTAAATTATGAAGAACTTAAATAATCCTGGGAATATTTTTAAAGCCATTTTCCACTCCACCACAGTAATAGGACACTCTCCTTGTAGCTCATCTTGCCATATCCTTCAGATGTCTGACACGACATTTCCTCTCCATGACTATTTGTTAACATGTAGGCAAGCCCCCGAAATGGGACGACGGCCCTATCTGAAATGCAATGTGATCTGAAAACCACACTCAGCACTTCTACCTGTCTTCAAAACAGTCCAACGAGGCAATGCATGGACACACATGGGATGGCTCACTTAAGATTTGTGGGTAAAAGACTAAGGCGCGTTTCCCAGAGGAAACTGAATCCAAAACCCCATTAAGCAGTTTTGTTCTGTCCCTTAAAGTTTCTCTTGCCTGACAACTATCTCAACCCTTGTCTTCTCTTCCCTAATAAGACCTAATCCAAATATTAAGCTCTTGTCCTCGCTTTGCAAAACCCACTCAGGAGAACAAAACCCCACAACCAGCCTTCCAGTGGCAATCTACCATCGTCTCACTAGCAGTGCCCTTAGGGATCTTATCTCCCAGGACGAGCAGCCTCTCACAACACACCTCCCTACGAGACGGAGAAAAGATCTTTCCCCATTCAGTGCACACACAGTTGAACTTGTTTCCAAGGGGTTTTATGGAAGTCATATGACTAAATACTCCTTTCAACTCTACATCTACAGTTCTGAAGATACAAAAATGCACTGAACTTACAGACGCCAAAACAAGGGCACTGAAAAAAGAGAGGGATTATCCAATATGCCACAGTTAATGGCAAAATTTATACCATAACCTAGTCCTCTGACTTACAGCCCAACTTTCTTCCCACTAAGGAGCTCTGCCTCCCAGCAAGGACCAACGTTTCTGCTTGCACCAGGCCCTTAATCTTTATTTTCTCATCCATAAACTGAAGCTGCACCTTGCCCTTGAAAATTATACAAGGAGCCACACTGTGAATGTGTGCACACTTTGTGTTTCATAGAGGAAACATATTTAATCAGTACAAGGTGTGTCTCTAACAACGATCTACGTTTTGACCTCTGATATATGTCAATGACTGTTGTCATACATTTCAAAGCAAAATACAGCCCAATATTGTCCTAGTAAGCAAGGCATGTAAATTAACTCAGCCATAAAACCTTTAAAAAATTAAAGGAGGGGGCTTTAGCAACTAGATTAAAATATGGAACCACATAAGTGTTTCAGGCTGTTGGTGCTCCTCACTGCCATCCTGTATGCCACTGTCATGACATTGACAAGCCTGACTGGGACTGGTGACTCTGCTATGGGTTAGCAGATATTTTCAATCCTTTCAGATCATTCGTGTTAATGTATCTCAAACTGCATCAGCTCAAAGAAGAAGAGGAAATTGAAACTACCAGCTGAGATCAAGCGGATTATCAGTCTCGCCTCCTCCCTCCCTTCTCCCGGCACTTTGCCTATCAGGGTACTGTGGCAAACTGAAGCGAAGGCATAGCCAGTAAATCATTTTTCTTTACAATGTGGCTGATTCCTCTGTGCCAAGAGAAGCATGACATCTTAAAGCAGGTGACATTTGGTGACTCAATGGCATTAACTTCATGCCCGGGAAACTGAATTTGCTGGGTTTTTTTTAAATATAGAAAACACATTGGAAATATATGTGTCTGGCAGGGGGGTGAGATTGGCATTAAGGTAAACAGCCAGCAAATTGTTCGTAGCAATGAACTGGGGCGGCGCCTTTTCATTCCAAAACTTCAGAAATTAGAGACTGGTCACCAGATGTTGTTTAAAAAAATAGATTTTTTGAAACTAATTTAACTACTAAATTGCTAAAAGGTACATTCTGGTAAGTCCTCTTTTAGCTGAAAATGTCTGTGTCTTGTTAAATGTTTATTGAATAGTGTAATTATATTGCTTTTGCTGTTAAATGATATTGACATTCTTGAATAAGAAAGATTTTTATTCAGGCAAGATGAAATGTGAACATCTGGCAGCAGCCTTATGTGGAACGTTGAAACAAACAAACAAAAATCTTGACCAGTGTGTTCCTTTTTTTTTCTTTTTCCCTTTCCCAAGTTTTCTGGATGTGACTCACATCAGAATATACTTAAACCTGAGGACTCTGTCACTTACCATCGAAATGTTCAAAGTAAATCCTTAGCAAACCAGTGGCTGCCGAAGAGGAGTCGATTCACCCGTGAAACAACTGTTTCTCAAACAATGAGCCGGCTGTTTGGTTCACTTCAAACTATCACAAGAGTAAAAAGGAAAAACTAATTTTAAAAATAGATGGAATACAATGGCCATTTGTCATAATATTACAAGAAGCTTCATATTTTCTGTAACAGATTTATTTGGCCTCTAAGACACTACAAACAGGTAAGAAATTAATACCGAGGTGATATTCTTCCACTTGCTAAGGGGCTTCTTTACACAGAATGTCTCGGTTTTAGGAATCTCCTCATTTGATCCATGGCATAACTGACTCTCATAAAGTGACTGGAAGAGGCTCAGCAGAGTGGCTGGCTCTCCGTGTTCCAGCACGTTTCCTTCTTCTCTTTCCCATTTCCCAATGTGTAATGGAGAATGACAGAAACTTGGCTCTCCTGCAACCCGAGAACTCTTTATTAATTTAATAGCAAGATTTTGATTCATAGGGAAAAAGAAGTTACCTATAACCCCGAGTGTTTCACAAGGAATCTTCATTGCAGAACTTTTGTTCTTTTAGGTATTCCTGTCAAAAGATAGATTTAGACATCAGAACAAGTAAAATATAATCAAATGCAAATGTCTAAGACCAGCTGTATCTACATAGCAAAGCAACAGTTGGCAGACCAGTTCCCTTCGTCCAAGCCCAGCTCTGAAGGCTTTCGTTCCTCTGAAATATCCACAGTGGTTATCAAGAATGTCCCCAGTTGGCCAATTTCTCAGCTTCCTGTTTGCTTTAGTTGCTTCCTCCCATACAACCATGGCGTGACAAGATAGGACCAGAGGTCTCGCTCCTGCTCTTCCGCTCATCCACACAAAGGCTGTTCTAGTTTGTCAGGAAGGCCCTGGGCAAGAGGGAAGATCCAAATTCTATAGTCCCTGAACAGGTTCTGACTCTAAACTATCGCCACTATCTATTAATTCTATAGTCCCTGAACAGGTTCTGACTCTAAACTATCGCCACTATCTATTAAAATAGCCTCGGAATCTCCACTGTCTGTTAAAATAGGCCTGGAGAGATGAAGAGAATTAATAGGGACATTTAAGTGGGGGAATAGCACATGAACGCACGTGTTGCTGTTCACAGGGTGGTGAAAAATGAGTAGCTGAAGCAAGTCAGAGCAGGGGTTGTGTTCAGTCTTGAGCATTGTGTAGGTGGAGGGTGGAAGCGAGTAACATAAGAGAACCACACGTACAACGGCTTACGTTAACCTGGCGAGTGAAGACGACTGCAAGAAACTTGGCATGGCTGGAGCACAGATCTTGAATAAGAAGAGATTTAACCAGCAATAAAGAAATTAAGTAGGCAGGAGTCAGGTAATCACGTCCCCGGCAGGCTGTGAAGTTTGAATTTAATCCGAGAGGCAATGGTACTTTTGACAAGGGTATAATATGATCAGCTTCGTGTTTTAGAACGATCACCCCTATGATTTTAGAAGAACGGATTGGAGGGATAATAACATAAGGATGAAGAACAATATGGAGAGGAGAAATTCTGCAAAGTTAGCACACACAGGCCTCCTTGTGTGATAGAATGAGGATGGAGATGGAGAGCACCTCTGTGGTTTCAGTCACTGTCTCCATGAAGATGCTAGTCTTAAGTTGGAGGAAGAAGATGAAGGAGTTTGGTTTGAGATATGATACACCAGAGTTTCTTATGAAGCTGTGCAGTGGAATCCCCAGTGAAATTCATGAAAGATAACTACAGAAAGAGAGAGAGAGAGAATGTATAATGTATATACACACATATACATGCCTATATATAAATTATTTGATTAAAATAACACATGTTCATTTTAGAAAACTGATATGCAGCTGGACTGGATATTACAGATTCAATAGTTAAATATCTTAAGTAATAATCGCCATCCAGCTCATATGTGGAGCATACATTTCAAAGTTAGTATAGAATAAAATGCATTTAAAAGTAGAACTGAATGGTACTGATGACATAGTTTGACTATCATGAACTAAGGATGACTTTAAACAGCCAAGTTACCACAAGGAAGTATAGCTCAATATTACCTATGCCAAAATCTAAATTACATTCAAATGGGAGATACTAAGGAACACAGAGTAAAGCCAGGTTAACTCTTCACCTTCATGGAAATATCTCCGCAGCCAGCTCATCTTGGCAGACCTGTTACAAAACAGCTGCCCAAGAGACGTATCCTCAGGTCCATCTACAGTTGGGGCAACTAACTCTACCCCTAGGATTTTCCATTTTCTGTGAATGGAATCCCAGGATCTCAAATAATAATTGCTGAAATACATGAGCAAATCAAAAACTTTCTTTAGGGAAAAAAGTTAACTTTTTTTTTTTCTGTATAGCTAACTTCCATTGGGAAGTGAAGTGGAACCTCCTCGGGAAAGAATAAAAGTCAGGACCTGTCATTTTCTTTTTTAACTTTTAGGTTCAGTGGTACATGTGCAGGTTTGTTATATAAATAAATTGCATGTCACGAGGTTTGGTATTCAGATTTAATTCATCACCCAGGTAAGAGGCATAGTACCCAATAGGTAGCTTTTCAGTCTTCACCCTCCTCCCACCCTTTACTCTCAAGTAGGCCCTGGTGTCTGTTGTAGGATCTGCTGTTTTCATAAAAGATCATAAACTTTAAGATTCCTATATCAGTATCTGATGTCCATGGGAACTCTTCTCTCTCACGCACATAGAATATATGCACCCCAGGCACCTCAGAAAACTGCTCAATGTTTTCTTTGTTTAATGAGGTGTAACTTACATAAAATGCACAAACCTAGACGTGCATCACTTACATGTGAACTCTTACATGGGCATACACCTGTGCAATCATCAGGGCAAGACATTTTCAACATCCAAAAATATTCCCCATGGATTTACCCGGTAACAACTGACCTGGACACTACAGATAAACACTGTTCTGACCTCTGCTGTCACAGAGTCGCTTTGCCTGTTCTTGAAATGCAAGTGGAATCACACAGTATCTTTTTTATCTGGCTTCTTTTGTTCGACGCGTTGTTTTTGAGATTCATCCATGCTGCTGCATGTGTCAGGAGTTTGTCCCTTCTCACTGTTGTGTGGTATTCCATTGTACAAATGCACCGCAGTGTGAATTCATCTTCCTTCGATGGACATCCGAGCTGCTTCCAGTTTCTGGCTCTATGAAAAGCTGCCACAAACATTCTGGTGCATATCTTTTGGTAGACATAAGCACTTCTTTCACTTGGATATTACCTACAATGGGTAGGTGTATGTATGTGTAGCTTTGGATATACTGCAAAACAATTTTCTAAAGTGGCTGCACACATGTATGCTTCCACCAGCAGAAAATTTAATCATGACTTACCCACCATTTATTTCTATACTAGTGTGGACAGAATTAATATTATATTGGAATAATAAATGAACCATGCCAACTTCTTATTCTCCTTGGTCATTAAGTGCTGACCTCGTTTCAAGCTAAAGCACCAGAAATGCTTGCGTTTATTATACTGTTTTTGATACCCCAAAGAATATCTCATTGTATTTCATTAAAAATACATATAAGAAATAGACATAAGAAGAGTGAGAATTTCTCATTGTTATGACAGACAGCTGAAGGACCTTCCAGCTTACTCAAAACCAAAGACAGTTGGATTTGGTCATTTAAACACATTTTAATTTTTTTATTTATACATAATAATTATACGTATTTATGGGGTACATGTAATAGTTTGATATATGCATATAACGTGCAGTGATCAAATCATGGTATTTAGGATACCCATCACCTCAAAATTTATCGTTTATTTGAGTTGGGAGCACTTCAAATCTTCTCTTCTTGACATTTTAAACATAGCCAACCTCAAAAGTAAGAATTTTAAAAATCCTTTGTGCCCTAAATTAAAAAGGACACTAAAATCAGAGTACGATATTGGAGTTGACATCAAATGACCTATGCAAATATCATAATAAATGCCCAAAGTAGAGAAGCCTACACACTCACTTGAGAATCAAGAGTCAAATGTTCACGTCGACACTGCCAATTCATCTTGTCCCAAGGTAAACTACTTATCTTGTGGATTTCCAAACTTAGTGAATTTCATTCACCCAGTTACCCAAGCCAGAGTCAGGGATTAGCAAACTTTTTCTGTAAAGACTCATACAGTAAACAGGTGAGGCTCTGCGGACCGGATGGTCTCTGTCACTCAACTCTGCCTCTCACGGTGCAAAAGCAACCACAGACAACGCATAAGTGAACAGCCATGGCCGTATTCCAATAAAACTTTATTCATAAAAACAGGCAGCAGATCAGATTTGCACCAAGCGTTACGGTTTGCTTACCCCTGCTAATTAGGGAATCTAGGCTCCTCCAACTTATTTAATCCTTATTAAAAATTGCACTATAACTTGTTCCCTCTTCTAATGTTTCTGGCTCTATGTGTTGACTACTCAAATTTATTATGTTTCTCAGTCTTTCCTGTTATTGTGTATGCTTCACTCACTTTTAGCCATTGCATAATATTTTGATGTGTCAACATTTTTTTAAAAACCTATTTATCCATTTGATCATCAATGAATATTTGGGCTGTTTCTACTTTGGGACCTCAATTTCCTCAACTAGAGAATATAATACTATCTACTTTATATGTTTTTATGGGTTAAATAAGACAACATACATAAACTGCTTGAAAATGTGTCTGACACATGATACATCCAATAAAAAGTTTGCTATGATTGTTGTATGATAGTTACATCTGGATGCCCCACCCCTACTTTACTGCTACTTAACTGAGTTTGAAGGTCATGTTCCTTCTCTGTCTTATTCGCAGGACCCACTATAGTGACTCAATGAATGATTATTAAATGTTGAAAATGAATGAAAAATTTAGGAGAAAATTGAACATGATCCTTATTTAACAAACACATGCTAAGAAATTCCACCCAAAATCTCAACAGGGCTTCTGTGGAATTTGATAAAATAATTCTTAAATTTATATAACATAACCAAAGACCAGAAACAGGTAAAATATTTCTAATGAAGGAAATGAAGAAAGTGGAGGAATATATCCCATCAGACGTCAAGAATAAATATAAATATAAAGCTACTGAAATTAAGAAAATGTAGTATTTATATAGAAAATATAAAGCTACTTGAAATTAAGAAAACATAGTATTTATATAGAAAATATAAAGCTCCTGAAATTAAGAAAACGTAGTATTTATATAGAAAATATAAAGCTACTTAAGAAAACGTAGTATTTATATAGAAAATATAAAGCTACTTAAATTAAGAAAATGTAGGATTTATATAGAGATAAAAACATTGAAAAAAATAACAGAAAAGAGAGCCTGAAAGAGGTTTGTGCATTTGAGGAACTATGATAGTTGTTGGAGGTGGCATTTAAAATCAGCCAGTGGGAAAACTGAGGGCTAAATAATAAATGATGCCAGGCAATTAATTATCAATATGGAAAAAAAATAAAATTGGCTCCCTACATCCCACCATATACAAAAATGAAGGGCATAAATATATGAAACAATTCTCTACAATTTTTTAGAAC